ACCTGTTTATTATTGTCCACAAGTCCAACTCTCGTTCCTGCAATTAAACATTATGAAGTAAAAACATTATTCAATACATTTAAACATTTTTAATGTATTTTCATTTCTGTTCGTTTGTGAACTATTCTCCACGCTTGAATCTGTTTATTATTGTCCACAAGTCCAACTCTCGTTCCTGCAATTAAACATTATGAAGTAAAAACATTATTCAATACATTTAAACATTTTTCTAATGCACTGTATTTTGCGAGAACCATCGAAGCATCTATTAAGCCAGTTTTCCACTTCGACCGTATCGTAACGTACCGTAACATTTTCTTTTGTGTCGAAGTCATTAGTTCCACTCTAGTGCTCAGGAAACAAAGAAATACGCCACGTTTCGGGACGATTGAAGTGGAAAACTGGCTTTAACATAATCCTGTACGAGCAACGTAAGTACACCTGAGACACAAAAGTTACGATGATAAGCCCAGAAAAACTGGATAATCGTACTACAACATGAATAAGGTCTTGTTTGCATAACACATCCCAAATACCTTCTTTTATCAACACTAACCCTAACAGTAACACTAGCACAACAACCACGACCACTAACATAAGCACTAGCACGACCACTGCCAATACTTCGAGTTCTGGTATACATGAAAACGCCAACAGTGGCAAAAGAATAGTGGTTGTGTTAGTGCTGGTGTTATTGGTTGTGCTACTCTTAGGGTTATTGGTTGTGCTACGGTTAGGATCAGTGGTTGTGTTAGTGCTGGTGTTATTGCCTGTGCTACTGTTAGGGTTAGTGGTTGTGCTGCGGTTAGGGTTGGTATCCAGTTTAACACTGCGCATGCTCAACGTCAAACGCGGATAAACACTTCGGTTTTCTTGTTTGTTTCGTTTTGAAAGTTTTACTCCAGGAAAGCCCCACAAAAGCGGTAGGTTTCGCTAATTTTATTTATTTAAATCAATTAGTAGGTAAGATGTGATGTTCTCAATGTATGTTGATAAAATTTAGTATATATTTTCCTCTTAAACGTTGTCAAAGCAGTAATGGATACGGATACGAAGACGAGAGATTGTCTCACTATTTTATATTCGATTTTAAGTCACTGTTGTACAGATTTTTAGACTTTTTTTGTGTTTTATTAAAAGTCAACAGTCATACATAAGACATACTATACTGCAAATCCTTTGAAAATTGTAAAAAATCGGTTTCTAGGAAGAAAATAGTCATCACAATTAACTTCATATTCTGGCTGGCTTTAATATTTTCTCTTCAGATGGCACTTCAGCTTTGAACATGTAACACAGATTTGTTTCATTAACATCACTGATTTGGAAATACGACGAGCATCTGCCATAAATATGCTGACTTTTTGCTATGAGAACATCACGTCTCAACCTATTAATTTCAATCAACTAATTGATTTAAATAAATAAAATTAGCGACATCTACCGCTTTTCTGGGCGATTATCAACAACAATCTTCCTAACTGCTTCGTACTGCTGTTCTTTCAACTTTAATAATGTCTTTTCTCCCAATTTTCTCCAAAACGAAACCAACGCTTCATAGTCTTCATAGAGCGCTTGATTTTTATTCATATTTTATACAATAAATCATATATTTCGTTGTGGCCAATCAGAAGCCAGTTTGATATGGATTTGGCCAGAGCCCCTTGTCGTGCTCGGTCGAACGCGCGTAAGAAGGGCTCTGGGTATGAGAATGTAATTTCACACGGCCAATTATCAGGCAGGATTACACTCGCAGGCAAGCATTTTCAAAACAAAACGGGAATAAATTCGTGAAGAAAACCTTGTGAAAATCAAGTCAGTTGAAACTTTGAAGACAGAAAGAGGCAAAGAATACCTTCGGTAAATAATGAAAGAGTTACTGGAACTTGTTTTGTCGTAAAATATAAGTTTTTAAAACCTGCATATTAATAAATATACTTAAACTGTCTGTACCAGTGTAGGTAGTACCAATGTGAAAATGCTGTGCGCCCTTCGCTCGAAACGTCGAGTTTCTGCTTATTTTTTTAAGGTAGTAATATAACCACTCAGCACAATATTAATAAATAACCACTCAGCACAATATTAATAAATACAGTATACTAGCTCTATCTCATGGTTTTAACTAAGTATAAATACTTTTACAATCGATGAATATTTGGTGCATACCTCTAAAAATTCACCTAGAAATGTCATTATTTGCATTGTACTTTTTTTCAATTTTATAAATATAAACACTAAATGGCAGACGACCAGGTCAGCCAGTTTTGAGCATCATGAATTCTGCTCAATATGCAGTATACTGTGCTGACTGGTTAATTTAAAATTTATAAATATCAACTGGCAACCCCTGGAGAATTTGACTTTTGTAAATATAACTGGTCAAATGCTCGGTTATCGTTCCATGTTTCGCGCACCAATATAAGTTAGGGTTAGGTATTAGGGGTTAGGTTTAGGTATTAGGGGTCAGGGTTAGGGTATAAATTTTCTGTCAGTATAATCATTTTTGTCAAATCTGGCAAAATCTTGACTTTGAATTATTTCGTCCTGCAGATGATAGAAGTTGTAGAAGGATCTGGCATGTTCTGGAATTGCCACCAGTGGGCATATTGCTCTGCAAGATTTTCTAATGAAGGCCCTACACCAAGTCAGGTGATACAAAAAATAAACATGAAAAGTGTAGAAGCCAGGCATCCACAAAGAGTTTGAATAGTCTGTAGTCAAGCCCACAAGTTGAGAGGACTGAGGACATTATAGATACCGATACATTTATATAGATCAATAAGCACTTAGCAATTGACATTATTACATGTTTGTATATATAGTTATACCATGGTAATTTAGTTAGACAAACTTTGCAAGTTCATTAAGAAATAGTAAATTAGTTAGCAATTTTGTAATTTGTTTATTTATTAACTATGTTATTTATTTGTGTATTGTGTTTTTGAAGATTTTTTGCATGTTAATAAAACTATGTATGCCACCAGTACAATTTTTTTGAGCTGTAGCAAGTCTATTTGGAATGGTATGGCCACTTGTTTTCATCCCATACCAAACCCACATGTGTTAGCATTTGGATGTTAGATGTTAACATGGGTTTGGTATGGGATGAAAACAAATGTCCATACCATTCCCAATATAATATGATAATTGTTGCACCCGTACCATTCCCATAGTTTATACATCAAGAACCATATGAATTCCATATCATGTTCCCAGATCATTCCCATATAGAATCCTATCTTACCCCTAGCAAAGTTGTTATGAAATGATATAAGGAACCCATGTATTTCCCATAGTGAGTCATATGGGATATGTATGGATTTGTACCAAATATGTATCAAACCCATATCAAAAACATGATATGGGTATGCTATGAAGGCAACCAGGCCATACCAAAGCCATATACCTCCCATATATGGCCCATAGGTTGAACCATATCAATCCCATAGTTGGTCCATATATGTCCCATATAATTTGGTTTTGTAAGGGTAATAATGTTTGGAATTTTCTTAGTATCCAGTCAGGATACAAGTCATTCACAGTTTGGCATCCAAAACCAATTTTTTGGTATCCTGTGGAGGGATACTGTAAATTTCAGACCCTATCAGCCATATTTGGCTTCCCTTTTCGATTGGATAATTGATCAAAGTCAGTCTGCTATGTATAATTATATACTGTGTAGTTGCATGAGTAATTGGCAATGGCACATTATCAACCTCTGTGACCGCTCCCCTTGCTAATGTTAATTTGTCTCAGTCATATTGGGTGTATGCAATGGGACAGTTCTACAGCTTTTCTGGATGATATTGCTTAATTAATATTTGTTTTCATTCAATTCATCATGTTGCTTATGTCTTATATGCATGTATATGCCCTGGCACTTAATATATATATATATATATATACAGTATACTCCTCTGTATTGCTTTATAGTATACAACCCATTTGTACCATTATAATATTATTACTTTTTCGTCAGTTGTTGCTATTCTTATATTGCTGTTGTTATTGCTACATGTAGTAGCTGTACTTCTACTGCTTAACTTCTGCTGCTATCATTTTAATATTTATATATAAAAATGATAGCATTTTAATATTGCTATCAGTGACACTCGGGGCAACCCCCCTCCTCCGCAGCCCCACCAAAAAATTTGTTTTGAAAATCTTTGAATGATAGCTAAATAAGTCTGTTTAACAAAGCTGTAACAACAATTTGTCAACTGTGAAAGCATTATTGAGTAGGTTATAAATTAAGCTTAAAAGAACTAAGATTTTCAACTACAAATGGTAGTCATATATTGGTAACCTAATTCACCCCTCCCGGCCACTGGTGGCTATTGTCACACTTTTATTGTATCTATAGTACGGAAAGCACTAATGGCCATACCGTGAGACACCATGCGCCCGCGATATTATCTAACAATCAGCGGCTATTTTAACTAATTGATAATTAACATCGGTCTAAGTCATATTTTTGCGGGAAAGACAAATTGTAAATATGGCGGGTGATTACAAGCCGCATTTTGACGTTCAGATTACTCCGAATTGCGGTTATGTCTATTCGCGTGAGCAAGCTGAGCAAGTTGTGCGGGAATTCGAAACGCGAACAACAAGCAAGTACTCCTGTTATAAATCTAGGTCGTCCTTCGGCAGAACATGCAGGTACGTAATCATCAATAATTCATGCGATTATGAAAGTATAAAGCGATATTTACCGAAGCGTACCGCGTATAACGCTTCGAAATTTCGTCTACAGATTTATGTAAATCTAAACACCGAGTCCGTTGGGAAGATGGTAATAAAGACGCTTGTACTCGGATGGGATTTGATGGTGTTCCGTTTATAATACTGGACTCCAAGATTCTTGACTGCCAGCATGGTGTTGACCGGCACAATTATAGGAAAACGAAAGCACAAAGTGACGCGGTAAGTCAGTCTATACTGTCGCAAACACTGTTCCATATCCAGCTATGATCCAGCCGGTTTCATCAGCCGGTTTAAAGCTAAAAATATAAGATCATGGCCGTCGTGGTAACTGCTAAATAGGAGGAGGGGGGGGCGAAATCCAAAATTTCCCGACCTCTCTCCCCCCCCCGAAAAAAAATTCCGATAAATCTCAAATTGTGGGGGGGGGGGGCATTGGTTTAAATAATATTAAATTATAAAAAAGGGCAATTTTTCCATATAATGTTATATTGATTAAGTACAACTGATACGCAGAACAAACTTTAATTAAGTGGGGTTTTTTTCCATTTTATACATAGGTCATAGCTCTTTTGTCGACGGTTTTTTTAGCTTGTTACACATAATTCATTATTTCAGTTTTTTACCTTTGGTAGCATCGTGACCATGATTTCAAGAAACGAAGATTCCGCGTCCAAGGGACAAAAAAGTTTGGCTGCGAAGCAAAAATAAATATGCGCGAGGTGATCAAGTTCCCACAGTTTGCCATTCCGGTATGTGTGATTGCATTGCTGAGTATTGAAGATCCAGGACATATAGCCTTTATAGGTGAATATTTGAAAAGCTCTAAACGGAATTACGTTTTCCACAGATCTACGTAAATTTATTTTTAGATTGAAATTGACTCCAGAAAAAGACGAGATGTAGCCGCAGCGAAATTGAAGGAAGCGCTCCAAGAAAATGCCAATCTGGGAGAACGGAGGATTTATATGTATTTGCCTCCTGCGGACCATACAACCCATTTGAATGGCGAGGTAAATGTGAGATTCATATTTGTTTCCGGTATTCCCTGTGAGCTTCGTTCGGTAACTCTTTTGGTAATATTGAACAGAAATTAATGTAGTTCTCTCTGATATTATTTTAATTTCCCGCTTGTGAGTGTGATTGCATGATATTTTTATGCATGTAATAGCTACAGCTATTTCAATTAAGGTTGTCAGAGACAATGGCCAAATGTACAATATGAGCGCGAAAGAATGATGGGAATATCATTATCTTTACTTGTTTGTTATGCATAAACATGTTGAAGACAATGTTATTCCCATCATTCTTTC